TAGAGATCTGATAGGAAATGGTGTCTTTAAGAAATAATTTACTTTTAGGAATAATAATTAAAGTTTTTATAGCATTTATTAAAATATTTTAAGAATCACAATTATCGAAAGGACAAGCGATGTTATTATAAAACTGCATACTGGATGAACATGTTATGTACAATGATATTTGGTAATATTTGGCACATCTCTATGATTGAAAGTAGGAAAAAGTAAGGATTTTAGACAAAGCTGATGATAAACAATAATATTGCGTTTGAATAAAAACAATTACTTAAATGTGAATGTTTGACCAGAAGCAATATTAAAAAAATCCGTTATCTTCTTGTAAAATTATAAAAGAAATTGCGTAGAGTTAGATATATAGTTAACAGTTGAAATTTTAAAGATGAAAAACAGTCAGGATATGCAATTGAAAAATTATATTTAAACATATTAAGTAATTAATATGTTAACAAAATTAAACATAATTTTTTGACTGTGGATCCTAACCATTTTTAATCATTAAAAGAAATAGTATTTTGAAACAGCTACAACTGTAGGCACATGCTTTAAATACATATAAACACACATATCGAAACCTAAGTTATGAGAAATAACATTTCATGGGGAGACAGGCATTTTAAAACTATAAGAGTAAACAACCAATAAGATAACTTAATATTAACATTTTATTATTTTGTTTTGATAATTGATTTTTATCAAATTGAAAATACATACTATTTAAGAATTTGATTATAACTCTTTCCGTAATAAGGATGCATTAATATTTGTAATAATTGCACTGCAATTAAAAATATTATCCATTCATCAGTGTTTGTTATATGAAACGATTCTAATATCAACGGCAATTTGTGATCTATTATTAATGAATACTAAATCACATTTCACAATACTTAAGGGAACAGATTGGATGATTCAAACTTTTTGAGATGCAAGAAGGTAATGGAAAAGGAGGAATTTGAATGAAGTAAGGAAATGGATATTAGAAGGTAGAGAATTCCAGAAGCTAGTGGAGTGGGCAAGAAAGGAACATTCAAAGGTTTTAGTTCTGTAGGAAGGGGTATTAATGTCAGAAACATGAGATCTCGTTTTCTGAGTGGACCAAGAACTGGGAGTTGATAATTTGGTACAAGAAGGATCTGAGGACATATTGTCAATGGATGGAGGGGAAGAGATACCACATACAAAATTTTTATTTCCAAAGAAACAATGGATCTAAGGAGTGAATGTGGACTTAAAATGATAGCCTGAGTTTTCATATGGTTTACTTAATTTATTAAAGAAAGCCAGATCCTATCGAAGTCTTTCTGAATAGGAATATTTGATAAAAAAGATTTTAGAGGAATCAACTGTTTTCCAAATAATAAATCTAGAAAAAATGTTGAAATGTGAAATCCAATAAAAGCTTCTAATAAGAAAAATTGGATTGGGGTTGGAAGACACTTTAGCCAAGGATATCCAAAGCCCTTTTAATATAGAGCTGGAGTACAGCTGGATAAAATCAATTCATCTTGTAAAGGCTCACCAAGGAGGTCAAGGACTAAACAGTAGCATTACACCTTTTATTGTTAAATATAGATTCTATTTTAGTTTATGATGATGCAAAAGCTGAGACATACTTTATAGAAATCAATAATCATAATGACTATTTTAAATAAAAAACAATGCAGTACATATATACAAATATATATTCATTTTGCACCTTAACAAAACATCAGTAAAAAATTGAATAGAATTGATAAAAACCAAAAAGGCATTTTCTAATTCCTTTTGTCCATTAATTTTTTGATTCATTGATTTGATGCATTAATTTAGTCAAAATACGATTCGGCATTCATGGTTTCTCCAGGATATAAGAAGCTGCAGGGTATCAAAAACCAAACGAAGCTTACTAAACAGTAAACATCACTTTTTTTTTATGAGTTGAGGGCTTTGGAAAATGTTCTGTTGTTCCTTCTTTGTCGAGCCACTGTCCACATTGTCTACTGTTATCATAAGTATCCACTTTTTATCACAAGTAACAACTCTGGACAGAAAAAGATCTTTTTGTTTCGGCAAAGAAGTGTAGCCCAAACTTTATAAAGCTGGATTTTTTGGCAGTTGGGAAAACTTTCAAGCTTTTTTTACCTTTCCAGTCGCCTTGAGGTGGCCATTGACCGTCGATTTTCTAAAATTAAATTGCTCTGCACGTTCTCGAACAGTTGTTCCATAACCTTCTTTGTCTTCAAGGCTGAAGTATCCCTCTAAAAATTTTTTGAACCACCATTGAACAGTGCACTAATTGATGTTGCTCTCGCTTCAGACTTTATTGATGTTTCTGGACGTCTGGGACCCATTCTGGCCAAGTTTAAACTCATAAAACAAAATTATATGAAAATCACGCATTGACATCTTAGTAAAGACTGAATTATTCCTAAGAAGCGAAATGCCACAGAGGCAAACAAACATTATTGTTTGGTAGAAGATTAATAAGTGTTGACATTCATACAAATGAATAATCCAGTAAACGTATACAGTTGGTTATATAGAGGGGTATTTTAAATAAAACTCAAAATCCTGCATTATTTTCCTGACAACCCAATATTTAAAAAATATTAGAATACATTATATGTGCGTTAAGTAAAGTAAATGAATAAATGGAATCAAGAAAACAAAAAAACAACAATATGTAATTAGTAAATAAAATAACAGTTCTAGAGTAAGAAATTGTCTTCTTAACGAAAAGACTAAATAGGAATAATTTGTTTGTATATAAATGTCCTTCAGATGGAAGACAGAAGAATGGAACATATTTCTGGAACCATCGAAAAAGCATATAAATATGTTTTTTAAAAAATACCAAATAAATTTTTATTACAGAATAGGTAGAGCAAGCAGAATATTGTCAATTAAATTACCATTGACCTCCAATATGAAGAAACAAGAAATTATATTTTAAAAATATGATAAATTTAAAGAAGTAAAAGTTTGAGTGGCACATGATAAAAGTAAAGAAGAAAGATAAAATGGAGGAATAATATATAATTGTATAAATTATATAATATTCCCCAAGGAGCAATAGATGAAGGGATGAGGACATTTCAGAATAATATATAATTTCAAGGTACATAATACACACTAGCAGAAGGAGAAGAATTAAAAAAGAAAATAATAATAAAAAAACAGCATAAAATATAGAGCCAACCAATCCACAAATAAAAAATACTAACCCTATTAGAAGGCTACAATAGTTCTGTTTTCGGTGATTCAAAATACTGTAATAATAGCTAATGGAAAACGATAATAAAATAATAGAATTTTAACTGTAGATAAGAAAAGATACGGATGTGTTACAAGAATAGAAATATAAGATATAATAAAGTAAACAATATTCTTTCAGGTGGCAACTTAAAAATATTGGCATAAAATATAGTTATATATTTATATCTCAGGATGAATAGGAAAAATATAACTTTTAATAACTATGTAAATAATTTTGATATAATTCTGCTATTTGAGAAAAAGATACAAACAAACACAGACCACATTTTACCAACTTTAAAACAAATTCCAGTAATTAAATTTTGAAATTTTGGTAGAGGAAGTGTGGTTGTTAATTAGGTGTAAGTCTAAAGATAGGAGTTCTCCCAAAGGGCATCATTTTAACTACTCAGCAGATATACTGTACAATAAGAAAACTCAGAGTGAAAAAGGAAAAGAAAGAAAAAAAAAAAAACCACATAACGTCTTAAAAAGGAATCAAGAATTTTTACTTAACCTACAAAAGTTTATCATCAATATTTGTTACGAGTAAATCATATTATTTATAAAATAATATTATACCTAGAATAGTAATACAAAAATAACAGTTTTAATGAAGAAAAAAATGGAGAAAATGGTATACACACAAAGTTTCCATCAGAGTTTTGTTATTTTATATATATATATATAATAATTTATTTAAGCCTTACATGAAGAGTTTAATTGAAAACATATGAAGTAAATACAAGGATGGCTACAACTTCTAAAGATTAAATCAAGAAAAAGAAAGCAAAAAGGGTTTTATTAATTAATATAAATCAAACAAATTAAACATAGTAAGTATAATTTGAAATGTTGTAAAAAGTACTATCTTGACAGCCTGAATTTATTAATCTGACATAAGACCCTAAATAGTACAGAATGTTTAATAATCCAACAATTCATTGGTCTCATTTTTATTAATCAAAATTGGATTGTATTCATGAAAAAATAATAAAATACATCACAAAAGTTATATCATAAACGTTTATGTAAGTTGGGATTTCAGCCTTGGCATTCACAAAAAAAATATATATAAATGTGATTGTGTAGAAACGAATTGATCATGAAAATAAATATTTACATTATCTTAAATCTATAAATACAGATTAAATCTATGAATACGGAATGATTCCAAACAAAAATAACATTCATAATGTGAAGTTAAAAGCTTTACAAGAAAATAAGACAACAAAGTGGTTATTAATACTGTAATTCCAGAATTTAAAAAAAATATTGTTTTAAAAAATGGAGCTAATTATTAAATTGTAAAAGATATGTTTATATTATAATTAATACAACCAATATTATAATTTTTTACATAAAATTTCTGATATTAAAACCATAAGCTAAAGAAACTAGAAAAATTGAATACTTAATGTTTGGCCGTTGTATATTTTAGAGGAAGGAGATGGTCCAGTCATAAAGAGAATAAAATAGTAGAAAAACTAGAAAAATATTATAAGATGGATGCGATGTTTGAATTCAATAATCTTCTATAACATCACAGAAAAACTTTATACATGGAATACCTCTAGTTTATAGGATAAATAAAACTGGAACTCAATGAGACTTCATATCAACACTAATAATTAGGTAATCAGGTTTAATTTCATAACAAATATACACATTAATTTTTTATGATTAAAGGTAATAAAGATGAAGCAAAAAATAAACTTTGCAAAGAAAAAAAAAAAAAAAAAAGAGAATGGTCCTACCTTTATAGCTCCAATCAAAGCGATATAGTCTTTCATCATTTCACATACAGTTGAAAAATCCGAGTTAGCTTGTTCATGATGAAGAGTTTCAGTCTGAAAAAATAAATAAAACTTTAAGGAATAAAATTGTTTGCTATAGATTTGAACATATTTATAATATTATACAGGGGTGTAGCTCAGTGGTAGAGCACTGATCTTCCAATACTCAAGGTCCCAGGTTCGAATCCCAGCTCATGGCAGAAACATTATTTATTCTGTTTTATCAGCCATGGGAAGACCCTCCTGGGGCACATCCAGCCTCTATAAAGTGAGTACCCTTAATTAAATAATTATTTAAGAGGGAAAACCTGGAAGTTGAGTGTAATCTCAGTCAAATCACCTTGTTGCACAACCGTTGACTAAGAAACAGTACTTTCCCTAAATAGTACTGAACCCAAGACCCTTCATGGGTTGTTGTGGTACAGGTATAATATTAGAGAATACCTAAAGTACATATATATATATATATATATATATATATATATATATATATATATATATATATATATATATACCATAATAAAAGTAGAAAAATGATACCATGATCTTAATAAAAACCTTTCAAAAACTATACACTACCTGTATAAATATAAAATCAGAATTTTCGTAAAGAAAATACATGTTTATTGCATTAAAATGTTAAAAAATATTTTATTCGAAATATGGTCTATCTCTAAATATTTTTCCTATCTCTCTGGCAATTTATGAATGCCATGCCAGAAAAATTGTTGCTCTTTTGTGGTGAAACAGTCATCAAGCCAGAGTGATGTGCTGCTAAGCAAGTGAATACCCCATTGGTACAAATTAATAATAGTCGGACAGAGTAAAGTCTGGTGGTGAATAAGCCGCATGCATCAAAATTAACCAACTGCATGCCGCTATCAGGCTTTAGCAACTTACTATAGTTCATACCCATCTGATTCCACCAAACACAGAGCATTATCTTTTTTCCATAGCAACTTTGTCTCACAATTGACATTGACGATTTGTCTGGCATTATCCATGACCTTTGACGCTTAGTATTCTCAAAATATCTTCACTTTTCACCATCTGCCATGATTTGATGGAAAAATGACTTTCTTTTATACTTGGGGAACAGCATTTTGGAAATGCCTTTCAAATATATGAAGACAGCTTCTCTTATTACATTCAATTGATCCACGGATTGTTGTTGGATTTAAGCATCATACTCATCCAGCAATGCTTGAAATTTCCATTCAAACTTTTTTAGTTATCTTCCACATTCACTTCACAAGTTGAAATTGGTACTTTGGATTTTTCAAACAAATCAAAGCAGTATGATCAAGACCAGGCTCACCATAAGCTTCGACGAGCATTCAACGTGGTTCTGCAGCAGTTGTCTTTAAATCGTAACAGAAAACTAACACTGTCCACAAATCTTAGTTTGTAGGCATACATCACTATTAAAACGATGCTGTTATATGAAACTTTTATCGTTGTAATTTTAAAATCTTTCTTTGTTGAAGAAACAAATGGCATCAATAACGCAGTTTAACAGTAACTACATTTACAACTAGGGCCATATATAGACTAATTATGGTTTCATACTTACACACCTGGTAAGGTGGTACATTTATTTATCTTCCATCTTGTCCACATCTATCTCCACTGAGTGTAAAAATGTTAAATATCAATGATAATTAGTAATAAGCTTTACTTTTGTCAGCTTATAGAGCACTATCTAAGGTATAATACTAATGAAGATTCTTCCCTAGTAATTATTGAATATGCAAGCTTTTAGATTTAACCATCCAAAGCTGTTTTTTTTACTCTTTTTCCACAGTATTATCAGAGATTAAAAGACAAGAAAGGATCCATAATCATTTCAATATAATAGAATTATTAACATAATTCTATTACAGAAGATTCTGAGGTCATCTCAATTTTAGAAAATCAGGAATCGAAAGAGAAGCTGAGTTAAAAACTAACGGTCATGTATGGGAATAAATATTTTAATGGAAGGATAGATATCTATTTTGGGCCAAATCAGCAAACTGGAACATGAAGGAATTTAGATAGTAAGGAAGAATTTAATGGTATATTAGGGACCCAAACGGCTGGTGCCATGTCACTTTTAGGGTCTTAAAAGAACAGAGCAAAGATGAAACTTCGATGCCACAGGAAGAGGAGGAGGTCCTGGAAGGAAATGAAGTTAAAGCTCCTAATTACGGCGGCTCAGAGGACCTGCCTGAAATCAGACACCTTGCTAGCTGGAAAGGAGCCAGCCACAGTGTGGGAAAGGGAGGCAGGGTGAAATCAGATAGGGGAGCGGAAGCTCTTCCTCCTGGCGAATCCCAGCCATATTCGTCAACTGTAAAACTGGCCCCTGGAAGATTAATTAAGGCAAAGAGAGTGAAGCCCGGTGGTGGATCGGGAGGAGGGAAGAAACTGGAGAAGACAGAGAAAACTGGACCCTGGAAGATTAAGTAAGGCAAAGAGAGTGAAGTCCGGTGGTGGACCAAGAGGAGGGAAAAACTGGAGAGGACAGTGAAAACTCTCCTCTGGTGGAATCCTGCCACTGGAACTGTCGGATAACTAACCCCCAACCACTTATAATATACGAAGTTTTGGGCAATGGGCACAGGAGGAAACCGGAGGCGGGGTTGATCCATTTCCCCCACTGATCTTATTACCGTTATAATGAAATCCCACACCAATTCCGTAGGCCCAGATGGCATTCCTATCAAACTAATAAGATTATATCTCCCTGAAATCTTCCCAGCTGCTCTCCTTTTTATCTAAAGTTTCTTCCTGCAGAATTCAATATTCCCGACCTCTTGGAAAAAAGTCACTGTCCTTCCTTTAAACAAAAATCCTAATCCATCCTCCCCCAAAGAATTCCGCCCAATATCAATCCTTTCCAATATTTCAAACTCCTAGAAAGGTTAGTGCAATCCCAAGTTTCCAACTTCCTTGAAAAATCCAACCAACTCGATCCTCTCCAATCTGGCTTCCGTCCGGGCTACTCTACTATTGTGGCTACATTATACAATTGGATATATCCGTTGGAAAGCTGAATTATTGCTCTTCAAAGACGTATGAATGGTTCTTTGATTTAATGTCTACATAAAGAAGAAATAAACAAAAACTCCTTATAGGTTTTTATTTTGTATCTTCATTTGTAGTTTGTTTACAAAGGTCCTATTGATGTCCTTTTGTGTAGTTTATGTGGCCCTTGTAGATAGCTAAAGTCGTATCGAAGTTATTACATTTTTTGTGATTTTCTAAAAAAATCATGTGAGCGACATTAACATTAAGCCTAAAAACATAGCCAATTTTGATAGAGGTGCATTCGGTTAAGTCATCATTCCCATAAACACTACAAATTTTTCTATGAGCTTCTGCAGCACGCTTACCTTTTTAAGAATAATACAACAAAATATGATGATAATGAATGATATTTTCTTCCATATTCACAATGCAATAGCAAATAAAATACTAAGCAACAGTATAAATAATCCACCTTAGGGATTAATTCATCAGATAAAAAGTATATCATAGTGACATAAAAATAAACAGAAAAACCAAAAGGACTTATTTGTCAACCCAATATCTTATTATTATTAGCTTTTAAATATATATATATATATATATATATATATATATATATATATTATATATATATATATATATATATATATATATATATATATATATATACATATAAATAATATCTTTAAAAGCAAAACAAGAATTTCTAAATTTCGGGAAAAAAATAAAATTCTAAAGTAAGATATCTCACGTTCTCTACCATAGTCTCATTTATTTTTGTATTTTCATATATTATTTCTGATAATATTTTATATTCATTGCACAGATAATAGAATATATTTAGTAGTGATGCTATGAAACGAAGAAACAAGGAAATCGATTAAAAAATAACGGAGTTATAGAATTATGTCCAAAAAAAGCGAGTTTGGGACCACTGTCCGTTGCCACATGCTTTGAATAAAAATATAATTTAAATAATATATAGGTATCTTTCGTTTGCCAATATTAACTGTTAAAAACCAGAAGGCACCTCAACCGCTCCTGAACTATCTGTAAAATCAAATTTTTTAACAATACTACTAATCGACAATTGAATATCTCTAAACTAAATTTCTGGTTGCTGCAGAGTTCAAAACTGAATATCAGAAAATAAAAACTTCCATAAACGACCCCCGTTGGCATCATACGCTGCATTGGACCTATCACTTCCAGAGACTTTTGCCGTGTCGACCGAGGTCATGGTTTTCAATTGTATTTTTAGTATTAATAATTAATGTGTGAAATAAAGGTAGTAATTAATAATGATTTGGAGTTTCATCAGTTTATATATCTCTCGATAAATATTTAGTAAAATAAGAGTTTTGGTAGTTTTGGAGTACTAAGTTGGAATAGCGATGTAGTTTTATAGTTTATAACAATATTGAAGAATTTATAATAATCAAGGCTGCAGCTTACATTAAAATTTTTGATCTTCGAATTACAATATCGTATATAACGGTTTTAACAATGTATCGGCTTTAACGACGAAAAACTCATGTCCGATTATTCAGATGGCTTTTACAGTGTGATTTTGAATGGATATAGCGATTGGATTTACTGGCTCGATTTTTTAGAGTTTTTAGAAAAAAAGATCAGATATAGCGAAAGTTAAACTCTTAAAACTGTCAGAACTCCTAAATCCTTCATTTTTATATCTCACTTATCAAGGAAATATTTCATTTGTTATATAAATTAGAACATTATTCCCCAACATTTTATTTATTAGCTATTTTATTATGACGTTTCGACCATCACTAGGGCCATTTTCAAGTCTTATTGAATCCTCCATTAAATATCTATTATTAATGGAGGACTCAATAAGACTTGAAAATGGCCCTAGTGATGGTCGAAACGTCATAATAAAATAGCTAATAAATAAAATGTTTGTGAATAATGGCCTAATTTATGTAAGAAATAAAACCTCAAGACACCAATTCTAGCAATAATGAACAGAGGAAATATTTTATTTCATCTCTTTTATAGGGATCACATTTATAGGGCCAATTTCATTCCCACTCTCAGCGTTAAATTCAAATTTCTGTTTAGTAGTTTAATAAGAATAATGAAAAGCAAAAAGTTCTAGATATAAGAAAAATTCTGGAGAATGAAGATTCTAATTATACCCAAGCTCAGGAGCAAAAAGTTCTAGATATAAGAAAAATTCTGAAGAATGAAGAGTCTAATTATACCCTAGCTCAAGAGCAAAAAGTTCTAGATATAAGAAAAATTCTGGAGAGTGAAGAGTCTAATTGAGCCAGGGTATGCCTCAAGAATCCAACAAAAATCTTATAATTTGAAAAAATTGCGAAACTACTCGAGGACATGCTGTATCATTTAAATCCAAAAAACAATGACTATCTATCTACTCACGACAAAATCGGTTCCTCTCAATATTCTGCTAATAGACTAGGAGCTACCAACAATTTCATTTAATGGAAAAATTTAGAGCTAGTAACCATTTTAAATTTTAGATAAACCTCATCTGAACACACAACTTCCGTAAGTTGGTTGAAAGCCGTAACTTCCTATATGAAAATTTAAATTAACGAGGCGAAATTTGATGGTTCATTAAACGGAATAACTGACAGCTGAATTTTTTATATTACGTAAAGAATATGTCCCTAAAAGAGAATTCACCTTGACTGATGATGTCAAAGTCATCACATTAGACCAGTCAGATTGTAGTTGGTTGAAGAAAAAATTCAAATAGTCGGTTTCTCTTTGATTTTTTATGTTTTCTGGAATGCTGAATCAGAATTTGACTTTCCCGAACGAAATGTTCCATTGCATATCGAGATATATGCAAAGAGCATCAAAATTTCTGAACTTTTTTTAGTTTTTTTTTTTTACATGAGTGCCGAAAATATGCATTTTATCAAAATTATTATTATATACAACGTTAAAGAACATAAAATTTAGTACCAATTTTATAGGTAGCTTTTATAGATGTAGGGCCAATGGGTGAGGAGTAAGAGAATGTTGATTGTTAGCATTTTTCACAAGAAAAATCTATTTTTGTCGGTTTCCCTCTAAAACTCATAATCTATGCATGTATCGAAGAAATTTAATATAATCAATTTGAAAGAGCATTAAGTTTCGTATGTATCTCATGTAGACACATTAATATGTGAGAAAATTAAACAGCTGTTAAAGCTATTAGAATCGAAGACGTTCATTCCGTCAGTTCTTCAGTTAAATGAACCGTCAAATTAAATCTCTTTATTTCAGATTAAACGCTGCCAAAACTCAAGCCATTGTAATTGGTTTCAAACCACTTCTCAGAACCAATACCAACACTCCTACCCTATACCTTAATGACCATCCCATCACCTTCAGCTCCACAGTAAAAAACCTAGGCATTTTCATAGACCAAACCCTCTCCTGGAATCACCATATTGCTCACATCTCCCGACAGTCAACTGGTACCTTAAACTATTCCATCGCTTCCGTCATCTCCTACCTATACCCACACATAGACTCCTAGTATCGTCCCTCATCTTTCCCCACCTTGATTACGGCTGCGTGGTGTACGGTGGCCTCTCGGCAGAACTTGGGGACAGACTGAAAAGAATTATGAATGCCTTCGTAAGATTTGTCACTGTGACCCCGAGACGTTCCCATGTTTTTCACCACTATACTGAGTTAGGGGTGGCTCTTCCCTTCCCTCCGAAGGCAATATTTCCTGGGCACATTCCTTTACCAAATAACCAATAATCATCGTCCGTCCTAATGTTTCCTAATGTTAACTCATAATGTTTCAGTAGAAATATCAGAACTAAAAATGGAATCTGCAGTCACAATCAGAAAAAGAAGGTACAATTACACTTATCAAAGGGAGAACATTGTTCTAAATTTTAAAAAGATACCAATTTTCATAATACATTTGATTCAATATATTTAGGAAAAACTAATATAATGATTTTTAATATATTTCAAAACTGAAAAAAAAATTGTGAATTAATTAACAAAACAACCTCACCTTTTCTTCAAGATCAGTAAGATGTGCAAGACACCGAGAGAGGAGAGTATGTTCTTCACAGTTACTAAGCATAGCAATAGTCTTCGCTAAAGCACCAGTATAAACAGCAAGCTCTCTAATCAGAACATTAAAAAAAATTAGAACTTGAGATTAATGAATCTTAAAACTCACCTACCTGACACAATAAAATAAATAAAAAATATTTGATTAATTTTAAGAAAATTTAGGTAGAATATTTCATCCATTTATTGAAAAAAGTTACCATGTACTTTTTTTATGGAACTAAACTTTAATTACAACTTGCAATTGAAAATTCATACAGTTGATCATAATTACAAGAATTGTATTATATTCCATAAACAACTAAATTAAATGCACAATGTTTTAATTTCAGAGGAAAATTAATTAAATTACTTGGTGATTTTATTTTCAAAACATTACTTAATGACTTTTTGCAATAATCAGATGGTTATAAAAAATTAATAATAAAATAGTAGAGATTATGGAAAAAAAAAAAATTCAAATTAATTTTAATCTACCAACTTTTTAAATTTATCTCAAGTAATGAAGTTCATTTATTATTATTATTTCATGGCACAATCCGGTTACAGGTCTTGGCCTCCAATTTCCTCCAATCGTGACGGTCTTGTGCAAATGTCATCCACTTCCTAACACCTAGCATGCTGCGGGCGTCTCCCGCCACACCATCTGACCATCTCTGCCTTGGTCTCTCCCCTCTTCTTCTTGTTCCATATATTGGCTGTGAAAGCAATATTTTAGGCATTTCTCCATCCATCATTCTGGCAATATGCCCCGCATATCTTAAACATCTCAAATTCATTGCTTTCACGTCAGCTTCTCCGAAAGAATTGTACAGCTCCTGGTTCGTGCGCCACTTCCACTCCTCTCCAACTTTCACTCCCCCAAAAACACGGCAGAGAACTTTTCTTTGAAAAATAACGAGTTCCTTTTCAATGGCCTTCGAATTTGTATAATTGCTCAATCCAAAGTAGCACTTGTTGGCCGCTATGATCCTTCTTCTTATCTCAATATTAGGGTTTTTATCCTGAGTGACTACAGATCCCAGATAAGTTAATTCCGAAACCTTCTCAAATTTATGAGGTCCAATAGTGACTGTCTCACCTGACATGGGAATTTCTTCCGTTACCATATATTTCGTTTAGGACTCATTAACTTCCAGTCCAAGTCTACTGACATGACCTGTCAGTGCCAGAAAAGCATCAGTCATGGCCTGCCAAGAGCGTCCCACAACGTCTATATGATCTGCATAGGCCAACAGTTGGACAAACCTGATAAAAATGTTTCCTTGTCGTTCGCATAAACCAGCGTCTCAATATGCGATCTCAAGTGATAACTTAAACAACATAGAGGCCAGCGCATCCCCTTGTCGAATTCCTTTATCTGAGCGAAATTCTTCTGATTTCACTATTCACTCTAGCCATACATCTCACATCAAGCATGGAAGCTTGTACTCAAATGTACAAGTTTCTCTGGTATGTTAAATTCTCTGAGAGCACTATACAGTTCTTCGCGTATTATGCTGTCATATGCTGCCCTGAAATCGATGAACAGATGGTGAGTTTTGGTTTTATACTCATGGCCTCTTTCAAGAATGGTTTACACACAGAACATCTGGTCAGAGGTGGGTCTTCCTTTCCTAAACCCACTCTGGTATGGACCGAGCTCACGTTCAGTATATGGCAAAAGACCTCCAAACAGAATATGAGATAGTATCTTATAGGGCAAGACAGCAGAGAGATACCTCGATAATTGCTGCGCAGCAACCTATCACCCTTTTTATGTATAGGACAGATAATTGACCTATTCCAGTCAGAGGGCATCATCTCATCAGTCCATATCACAAGGAGGAGATCCTGTAGAGCTTTCCTCAGCTTGGCATTAAAATCTCCAGCAATTATTTTCATGTCATACCTAAGGTATGCATCCAGAGTTCTTTCCAAAAGTTCATAGAAGACATCCTTGTCTTCTTCACTAGACACCTCTGTGGGAGCATATACACTTAGGAGGCTATAATTGTAAAACTTTCCACCCATTCTTATGAGACATATTCTTGAGCTCACTGATTTAAATCCTATTATCATCTGCCTGTACTTTCCCTTTACTACAAATCCTGTACTGAATTCATGCTGACTCTCATGATAGCTGTAGTAGATGGAGTGGCGCCTTTTTTCAAGAATTCCTTGACCAGTCCATCTGATCTCCTGAATGTGGCATTTGAATGAAGTTTATTTAGAAATCAAAATATAAAGAAAAAAATCTGGTGTGTCCACTCACATGACTTTCCTACCTGTTCCAGAAAAGTTTTTATATCTTTACATATGTCCATAAAGAAACAAAAAAAAAAATTGAATTAGATCTATTTTCCTGAAAATTGGTCAAAGAGTTGAGTACGATTTATTTGATAAACTAAAGCAATGTAAACCAGCTTAAGGTAGATCAGTGTAAAAATTACAATATCCTCTAATATTGCTGATCAAAACCTTTTTGCCATAGCCTAATTTTGTCAAACAATAATTTCTGTTAAAAGTAGAGGAAATAGTGAAGCTTATTTGATGTGGGCAACAGATTTTCTTATTTTCACTTAGTTATCTTTTCTCTCTCATTCATCTCTTTCTGACAACAGGATATGTACCCGTAATCTTAGATTGGAAACTGAATAGCTGTAACTTCGTTAATAGTTGTCTGAAATGAACAATTTTTATATAGTATTGTAGGGAATTTCATTACATTTAAAAAAACAAAAACAGGCTAAACAGTGCTTTTTTTTTTTCGAATTCGGGGGCTCTGAAACGTCATATGCTCTGAAACCGCATATCAAAAATTTGAACCGATTGCAATAATTTCCTTACCTAGTATAGGCAGGAAAGTAAAAAAGAAGTTTGTTATAAAGCAAATTTGAATTCCATTTTCATTAAAAAATTTTTATTACCATTATAATTATGATTTGGTTAATAGCTAACTTTTTTAAACTTTACAAATTATAAAAATGCAATGCAATAAAAATAATCTTACTATTACATAAGTAAAAGTAAAAAATAAAAATAACTTACTTGCGAGCAAGAACCAGACATTCCATATTTGAATGCAGTTTTCGTAATCCATTTTCCAGGTTTTCAATTTCTTGACTCTTCTCTTCAAACCACTGAAATAAATAATAATTTCTAAAATTTCGGATAAATAATATAGAATACTAGTGGAGAAATATGATTAGCTTTATTTATGTATCATAGTCAAGAAACAACAAAAACGATCAATTCAGAGATTGTAATGTCAAAGTTACCATTAGGAGATTTCATTATTCATTACTACCAATCTATTTTTTAAAGACAATAGATTTTTGCTGTCATAGCAAAAATATTTTTCTATTAATGACATTCCTCAAAGGACCCATATCTTTCTCAATAACATATGATTGATGATGACTTCCAAATATATTTGTCCTTTCTGCTTTTTGATAGATGACTTATATAGAATCTGTGACTGGGTAGAAGCTAACAAGTTAAAGTTGAATAAAGAGAAGAAGACAATTATAACAGGCTCTAATAACCCCCTTAAAACTATTCCAAATATTCTTGGCCGCACCTTAACTCAGTCACCTATTTCTATTAGAAACCCATAGGCTCCGGGTTACTTCCTTAATATTTCTTCACTTTGACAAATGTTGTGTGGTATATGGGAGTGTATCTAGGGATCTTGAGGGAAAACTAAAATGTTTGATATATTATTTTGTACCACTCATCTTCGAGATCCCAAGTACACTTCTGTTTCCTGTTTTTAAAAAGAGTTAAAGAGGCTTTATCCTTCCCATTGCTGTATTTCCTGGCATCCCTCCTATCCCAAGCAATCCTATCGTTCCTCATACATTTCCGAGCTCCTTCAATTTAAATCCTCTGCTCACTCCTGCCACAATACCCGTTCCTGGTTTTCAGATTTGTAAACAACAGCCCACTGAAGTGAAGCTTTTGACGGATTTTTCAATCCTTATACTAATAGAAATCAATCTCATCCTACATCCATCGCCCCCACACCTCATCCCACATATTCAATCACTTCCTTTCCATCCAGTTTCCAAAAATTCGTAAACAGACATTTCTGTAAATGTTGATGTAAATTATTAGTTCGTTTTCAATTATTTTTATTTAAATTCAATATTGTAGAAGATTATAATTTATTACTATTTAAATCTGAGGCTCTAAAGCCCTCAATTCTGTTGTTTTATTTTATTCAAACGGGACTTCTCCAGGAACAAATAAACATTATTATCAATACTATATGTTTAAAATTAATAATATTTAATTCTATAACTCATCGAATTAAAGCTTTTGCATAATTGCTTGGGTGTGTTGTTGCATAGCGTGCAACAGCTGGACAGAATTAAGTTTCTTTTGGAAAATGTTTTCACATTCAGTTGTCACCTAGGTTTACAGTTGTATACATCTATTTGTTGCATAGAATGCTTGTGTACCTGGTATTATCCAGATTTCAATCTATTATATTATCTTATTCTTATAATTTTAAATATTATTATTATCATAGGAAGCACATATAAAAATAATATTGACTTAACTGTTAGTGAACAGAAATGGTGAAGTAGTAATGAAGAAATATTGGACCAGGACTGTTTTAGAGGTAAGGATAATGTGACTGATTGGTCAACAAATCCTCAACATTATCCCAAAGATAAAAAACAAAATAAAAAATCAGGTGCGCACAACATACAATTTCACTTACCACCCAAATTTGAGTAAAAATAGGTCTTTTCATCATTTCATGTTTTAGACTCTAAGTCATTAGTGCCCGTAATAAAGGAAAACTACTATTAAAATATTTAGCTGGTAGCAACTGAAAGTAAAAATCATAGATGGTATAACATTATTATTCTACATCTTTCTCATCTAATATATTAAATTTTTGTTGTGTTTTTCGTCACTAACAAACATTTTCTTTTACGACTGTTTATTTTAATTATTAATTTAATTATAATAAATAATTAAGTGCCATTAATTCTTTTTAGTCCGACAAGAGTGCCAACATTAGCGGATCCAGGATTGAATTTTGTAGGGTGGCTTCAGCCCAAAAAGTTGTTTTTTATAAGGATTACTACTTTGGTAGAAAAAGAAAGAACTAATTATCTACATGAAATGGTGTTTAATTGATTCTTGAAGTTCTATTTAATATAATTACACGAACTATAATACAAAGATAGGTTTTAATATTTATTTCATAAGACATGGTTATGTTTTAACATTCAGCTCGAAAAGACCCCCTTTCTTTCTCCCATAGATCTGCCTGTGAGTGCCAGTAAGGAGATTATTTATTCATATGTTTCATTGTGAGTATATTTTTTGTTTAAACACTGTTTTATATATAGCTTTTAATTTGTATATTGCTGTAATCTATACATTTAAATATTAAATAGTAACTGCAGTAGCATTTAAGAAAACTGTACATGTATAAGCAAATAATATAATTGGAAGATGTTCACCAAGCCTGAGGACGCGCTCGGGTTATCTCGGCAGTTCTCGGCCCGAATTTCAATTCTCGATCCCTCAATACCATCTCTTATTTCTCCTTTAGTTCTTCATCAATTTCTTTCAATATTTATATTTAATGATTTTGTGAATTGTGAAATAGTTAATTTTTTAAAACAAACAAAATTGAAGGTACTTTAAAGGAAGACATTTTTGAAAAATCACCCTGTTGGAGAACATCAATGAGGATAAAACCTAAATTATATTAGAAAACACTTAAACAATTAAGTGTTTAATCATTAAATTCATTATGCTAATGTGCAAACATTAACATAATGAAATTAATCAAAATCGTTAGACACGTTTTCGACAAAATTTTAAAGATGTGTTTAATCAATGATATAAAGTACGACCTCCAGTTTGCCGATTTTGAAGAACAAGTATCCGGTGCATATAAAAACCTTAAATACGCAATTGCAGTTTTGAAAGATTTTTCGTTTTTGAGCGAGTCTGTTCTCATAAATACACACACAGTACTTGGTTATTTTGACTCAAGGGACCTCAAAACATGTATTTCTGTTGAAAAATCATGATTGCAATACTTAGCCTTACTATATAACACATACAAGGGTGGTCTGAAAAATTTCCAACCGCAACATGAAGATGGCAGCACTCGTAAATAAAAGCAAGTGAACTTCGTTGCTCACCTGTTGACAGTTACCCACCAAACTTTCAGCCATTTTGTACGCACAGTTTTTATGTAACAGTCGTTTGAATGAGTTGATATGAGTTTTTTTTTTATATGCACACAGGGACTAGTGGCGACGAGGCACTGAGTTATGGCCCTTAAAGATTCCAAAGTGTGAATGAGCTTATGTTTTTGGAATCCCTAGTAACACCAATAAACAATGTCTCTGCTGAGATAAGGAAAAGGCTGGTGGCAGCAAATAGGGCATATTTTGCTTTGCTGAAAACTCTCAGTAGGAGATCCGTTACCAGGGGCATTAAACTGGTCATATACAAGACTCTTATAAGCCCAGTTCTTACCTATGCTTCCCAATCCTGGACCATCTCAAGAATTGATGAAAATAATCTTTCGATATTCGAAAGAAAACTCTTATGGCGAATATTTGGCCCAGTGAGAGATGGAGGATTGGGAGAAACAGGGAACTTTATGATCTTTACGGAGACATGGACGTTGTAAAGTTTATAAAACTGGGGATGCTCAGTTGGGCTGGCCATGTCGCAAGGATGGAAGCTGAAGAAATTCCTAGAAAATTAGTGGACACCGCCCTTCATGGTACACGGCCTGGTAGGTCAAGGCTTCGATGGGTTGGAGTGGCATCGGCAAATAAAATTCAATATTTTTTTTAACTTTTAAAATGTTTAAACAATATTGATATCTCTCATGACTTTTAAAAAAAGTAAAATCAAATAAAATGCAAAATCTTAGGTTCTCTAAATCAAAATAAACTAATGATATAAAATTGTCTATGACAAAATTTTTTGCACAACAGAAAAACATATTTATCATTGGTCTTAACAGTAATAATAATAAAATTTGATTAAAATATTTATAATTACTTTATTATTATTTTAATAGTTAGTCTGAATCTTGGCATTATAATTAATAATTTTACAATTTGCAAATTTCTATCTTAAAATTATGGTTAGGATCTTAGTATATTTTATTTAATTATATTTCTTTATATTTAATAAAACTCTAAATTAAAGTTCACTTTTAAAGGAAAAAACCTATTAGACTATTTCGTTAATCCACTTCGGCAGTAATCAGCACACTAACCTTAATTGCTACAAACCCATTTTGTACATATTTGACTTTTCAGGCGAACATTTACCCATCAAAACCTAAAGACATTTGTGTTCTTAGATTACGTTCCGGCAGAACGAAGTTTCGAAGGGTATCGTTCCGTTCTGAACCGTTCTGCCTGGAACGGTCTATCCCTACTTATGTGTGCTCTTTCATCTTATTTTATACATTCCATCAAAGATGTTATTCTGAGCCACCATATCATTAGATTAACAATTGGGTATCTGTATTAACCACTTTTGTTATTATGCGATTTTTCTATTGTGAATTTAATTATTTTATTGAATTGGTTAAAACATTCTAGTATTTCATCTAAAGTGTCTTTCTTTATAATTAAAAATAGATCGTCTATGTATTTTTTGATCATTAAAATTTTTGCTTTAATTTTGTCAGTTGTGTTATGATGAGTTTATTTAAGAATATTCCACTTAAGTTAGCTGATAATATACTTCCCATTCCAACACCACAGAGGTGTTTATAGTATTCATTATTATATTTGAAGCAGTTAAATTGAGTGCATATTTTAATAAGGAAATTTTTTTTATCTTTGAATTTTGTTTTATTTATAATATTTTTCCAATTGCCATCTAAAATTCTAATTTACTCATCTACTGGGATATTTGTGAATAGAGATTTGGCATCTAGACTATTGATTTCTATATCTTTCAAATTTGGTTGGTTGTTTTTAATAAAACATTTTACTTATTTATTTAAAAAGGAAAAGAAATTAAAAAATTGTAATTCTACATAAATTCTAAATGTTATTAAAAAATATTCCGTATTGAGAATTTTTTAGTTATTTATTTATTCTATAAATAACAGTATTTATTTATGATAGTGTAAATAGCAATTTTTCACAAGTATATGCAAGGTTACTTGAGCAACCTTTAAACACTTCAACTGTTACTTATCTTTAAATCAGATGTTAATGATTATTTATTAGAAAATACCTTCTTGTATTGTTATATTGGATTAGTGTTATAATTAACTTGTGTTGTAATAACGTGTAATTAAATTCTTTTACTTTAATTGAATAAATCACGTCTATAAAAGATCTTAGATATATTTGGTATTTCACAATTAAATGTTTTGCTCTAAGTCCATAAGTTAAATAAATATATACAATTATGCTTAACTTAACTTACAGAGTCATAACCTTCCATTCGATATGTGATTTTGTTTACAGTTTCTCCAATTTTGTTAAAAAACCTCAACATTCCAGCACCGCTAAGTGTACTTGTATTAGATGCTTTAGGAAGATCCGTTTCTAAAAAAGAAATAAAAATGTGAATGAAAATCAAAACTTAATATCATATCATATATAATAAAATTATGTAACACATTATATAATATATAAAAATATTGGATAGAAATAGTGGATTGATGGTTGACTGTAGTGAATAATTGAAGAGAAGTTGGATGAGGTGTTCAGTCAAAATACAAAGGAAAAACAAATAAATAATATTTATTTTTACTTTATATTTTGACTGAACACCCCAACCAACTTCACTTCTAAAACATAAAATATGCAATACATAATATAATAAACAAACTACAACAGCAAAAACAATTAAAATATTAAACATTACTGAACCCATCACAGGACTTTAACAATTAAGTTCATCCAAAAGATTTTGATTTCTTTTATCAAAGAAAAATTGAAATCAATAAGTGCAAAATTTTGACAGATGCGACAATGAAAGGTAGGTGACATATATTCCCAACTATTTCTGAATTACCTGACAAGTGAACAGCAGGTGTAAAGAATAGAACTTGCCAGTTTGATCAAGGTCAAAATGATCAGATACATAGATGTTTTACTCCATTTCCCACAATGTTCGTTGATTCATCATACATTTTTTTTCTGAATCCAACCTCTAATATTCATGCTTACACTACTAATCATAGCCTTCCTAGTCAGGGAGCTCGTGGAAAAAAATGTGTCATATTTTAAACTAAGATTTGTCCTAATAAATTGACCATATCCATAGGTCTGATAAGAAAATTGCATGTCTGCAGTATATAGCCGCTGGAATACAAATTGGCAGCCAGGTGAAGATAGATAGAGACCCTATATAGGTAGCAAACATATACATAAAGAGGGCTTGTATATATAAAGTGACCAACCCTTTTAATTTATACCACTTACAGTCTTAAGACATTAAATAATACCAGTTACCTCATACCCGTGGATTTCAATTTGAAAAATTGAATTTACGATTCAAAAAGTTTACTTTTTTCTGTTATATCAGTGAAACTATGCTTTCTATCAATAGTAATGTCATATGTGAAATTAAAGCTGACAAAATTTGAAATAGAAATGGTTACATTAGTTTTTCTCTATATTCTATAGTTTCTATGATATCCGTCCTCGTAATTCAACTTTGAAAAAAAAATTGTTTTTGCTTCGCATTTTTATCATTATTTGATGTGCCAACTGTTTCTCTTTTTATTTCACAAAACAGTCATTAGGAAGAAAGATGTTTAATATTAAGCAATTTTCTTTAAGAATATATATTATTTTACGATCTTATCTTCAACCATTCAAAGGCTAGAACAATTATAACTTAATGATTAAACTATACAGAAAACCATACTTTTCATAATTTTTGTTATCACCATCTTTATAAGACCATACCTGTAAGTATATTATAAAAGCCAATGTATTGTAATATACACCTTAATTAAAAGTTGTTAAAAATAGTTTAATAAATTAATATTAAACAGTTAATAGGCAATCTAATCTAGTTCTGCTAGTCAGAGGAAAGAAAATAGCTGGTCGGTAATATTCTAAAAAAAAAAAAGAAAATCCCAAAGAGGAGAGGGACAAAGGATTTTGTTTTGACAAGCAGTTGGTATTTGACTGGGGCGAAGTGAGGATGGGAGAAGGGATCCTAGCTCCAGTTGGTAAAACCCAGTAATAGTACTAATTACCATCTTGGAAGTTGTTGTTTGGCAGAGAGACTAGTTGTTTGGAATTACAAGAGAGAGGATCTCCGAGGGAGCTTGAGTTGAGTAGAAGAAAGTGTCACCATTTTGGAAGTTGTGTTTGGCAGAAGATTGGAAAGAATTTGAAGATAAATTAATTTAGTGCAACAAAGAAAGAAACAGTATCTATAGAAAAAAGATTAGCTTGCCAATTCATACTTGACATTATTTTAAAATCAAACAGTGTTTAGTTTAATTAATTTTAGTTTGTCTGAGTGTTGTGATCTGATTGTTAGTAACCCACACCCGAGATAAATAAATATATTAATACTCTTATAATTGTGTTTATTATTTAACAACCTTTTATTTCTTTTGGAAGTAACGCTATAGTATAAAGTGATCTTTTAGGGTTATGTATTATTATTATTTGTAAAATATAAGAGAGATGTTACAGTATACACATGTATGTTGTCTTATATACAGATTAAAAGCTGTGTAATAACGAAAATTGCGAAAAGTAAGTTTTTCTGTACAGTTTCAGAGTTTAATCATAAAGTTATAATTGCTCTAGCCTTTGAATGGTTGAAGATAAGATTGTAAAGTAATATATATTCTTAAAGAAAATTTGGTACTTTTTGTCTAGCGGGCCGGCACGAAACCTCACTTCTTATCTATCTTATCTAACGTCACGTCACATAACCTCCCTCTTCTTATCCCGCCAAACCTTTGAGTTATTGCATTTAGTTTTCAGTTATTCCCTTATTACGTTCACTTATTAAATTCTTTACTTTTGGCCCGTTTGTGTTTATTTTTCATTATTTTTAGTTTTTGGTCCGTTTGTGTTTTTTTTCCCGTTTATTTTCGTCATATTATGGATCTTCTTAGAATATGGGATTTGCCGTCTTCAGAAGAACAGGCAATTCAATATTTTCAAAATGTTGGGATACTTGCAGACGTGAAATTGTGTGAACGAGGTCATCGAATGAAGTTGTGTTTATTGCAAGCAATTAAAGACAATATAGAAGAGGGAACGACCATTTATTCGGACTGTTGGAAAGGATACAACACCCGACAACTGAATGAAACAAACTATGACCATTTCCAAGTGAACCACCGGTATAATTTTGTCAATCCATCAACTGGGGTTCATACTCAACACATAGAACGATTATGGGGCTCAGCGAAGTAGAGAAATAAAGTACATAGAGGAACTGCCAGACAACGCCTCGATTCATATTTGAGCAAATTTTTGTGGCGGCGGATTCACAGAGAGGACTCGTTCCTCGCTATTTTAAATAGCATAAAACAATTTTGCCTTCCAAAATAAATAAGATAAAGTGAAAATAAATTGTACATATGTTGTTTATAGTGTTGATATTTTTTCTTTTCTATGTAAATAATGTTCTTTATGTTTTATTATTATTTCATTTTCATCTTTTAAATCTACATATGTTCTTCAAGTGTTTTTTTATTATTCATTTTGATATTTTATATGTACATATCTTCTTAAAGTGTTTTTTTATTATTTCATTCATATATGTGTTGTAAACTAAAAGTATTTTTTTTTGTTATTACATTTGCTTTTGTATCTGTTTACACTTTCAATAATACAAATTTAATACAATAATACGAAGATATGAAGTAGGAGAAGGCTTATCAATGCGTTATGGGAATTATCAGTGTTCAGGTTATAAACATTGGCAGATAGCAGTCAGTGCCGCTAGACAAAAAGTACCGAAAATTTAATAAACAACTTTTTTCCTCATGACTTTTCCATAAAATGAAAAGATAAAGTTGGCGAGTCAAATGATAAAAATGCGAAGCAAAAAAGTTTTTTTTCTGAAGTTAGTGAATTACGAGGACGGATATCACAGAAACTATGAAATATCGAAAAAACTAATATAACCATTCCTAGTGTAAATTTTATCAGCTTTAATTTAACATATAATATTAACAAAGATATAACGCATAGTTTCACTGATATCAGCAAAAAAAAAAACGAAGAAAAGTAAACTTTTTGAATACAAGTTTTTTACTTGAAATCCACGGGTGTGGGGGTAACTGACTATTATTTCATGTCTTCAGACTGTAAATACAATTAATTGAAAGGGTTGGTAGCTTTATATATCTATAAGTCCTATCTATATATATATAACTTTACTACCTATATAGAGACGCTTATCTATCTTCACTTGGCCGCCATTTTGTATTCCAGCGACTGGCTATATGCTGGCAGAAATGCACTTTTCTCATCAGGCCAGTGGATAGGGTCAATTAATAAGGACAGTATGAAATATGACACCTTTTTTGCCACAGGCTCCAGAACTATGTTGTTCATATTTCAAAATAGAACTTATTATAACAGAGGGTGGTGTATAAAATGTTGTATTATTGATACTAAGATATAACTATTTAAACAACTTCATAATACCAGATCATACTAGACTGAACTTCAGCTGAAATATGTAACCCAATACTGGGCTAAAGTGAAATAGCAATATGAAATCACAAGAAATAATCTTCAAAGTCTGTGACAGAACTGAGTGTTTCTCCTTGAATTTTGAGCCACCAAACAACAAATTCATAACCTTGCATTGCACAAGAGACTAATATGAAATACATAACACTCTATAAAATTCATGACTTTTGGAAACCTTGATTTCAATGAATATTTATTTTACGTTGAAAAGTCAAAATACATACAAGTAGGTTTTTTGTTCAAATTGTACTCTGAAGTTCAAATTTACCTCCAAATGGCCATAAGTTTATAATGACTTGTTAGAATTGGATTAAATTTAACCTTTTATCTTGTTTATGTTGTATACTCACTTAATGCATACAAATTGAATTTATAATAATAATAATAATAAAAGGCTTAGCGAACCTAAAGGTTTGATGTAGACACCACCAATTTTTTATACACACCTCCCTCCACTGCCTTCCCTTGGCTTTAACCCAGTCCCTTCTTATTGGCTTTAACACAATCTTCTCATCTTCGATTCGGACTACCCCTGAGACATTTAGCATTCGGTACAGCATATATCAACCTTTTGGGAATTTTTCGTTACTAAGCCCAACAATTTTGCAAGCCCATTTGACCTTGATTATATTATATTAATCGGATACAGTTCACGAAATTTGGCGTTGTGTAATCACCTAAATTCTTCAGTTGACTCATCCTTCTTCCGCCCGAATACTTCATTTTCAAAAACCTTAAGACGTTACCTATCCCTTAATGTAAGCATCCGTAAAGAACTGTAGGTAAGATAATTGTTGAATAGATTCTAGTTTTTAAGTTGTGGGACAAGAGGCGCAAGCTAATAAGTTTTGTCACAGAAAAATAACAAGCATTTCCCGCCTTCAGCCTAACCTTAATCTCCTCTCGAATTTCATTTTTTCTGGTTACGATAGACCCTAGATACCTAAACTTCTCTACGTGTTCAAACATATTACCTTCTATATCGATATCATTGGCAATATCGCCATTTTTGCAGCTAACCGTATATTTTGTCTTATCCGTGTTTATTTCGAACACTAGTTCTTTACCCGCTTTCATTAACGTTATCGTATTTAGTTTTATAGAACAAGACAGACAAAAGGGAATCACCTTCTTTTAAACTGATTTTAACTTTATTGAGTGTTTCCGTCAAGCACATCCTGACTAGATATACTATTTTTTTTGGAATCTCCTGCTCTGTTAGAACATTATGCAGTTTCTGGCAGTCAATAGAATTGTAAGACTTTTTTAAATTGTATAAAGCTGGAGAAAAACACCGTTGTACTCTAATTTTTCTCCAATACTTGCCGTAAAGAAAATAAAAAATCAAGCAATAATCGAACGGTTCCTCCTAAATCAGCATTGGTAGTCTCTGATAATTCTTGGAGTATTCCCTGATTAGACTAGTTAAGATTAAAGTGAATATTTAATAACATACCGGAAGGAATGAAAGATCGATAGTTCATAGATTCCTCGATAGTTATTACAATCTGTTCTCAGACCCTTTTTGTGAATCGGAATAAGAATAGATTTTTTTTATTCTTCAGGTAATATCTCATTCTGAGGGAGATGAATTCAAGTCCACTGAATAACAGCCGATGCCCCCTTCTATCTAACTAACAAAATCCTACATGACTTATTTTTTTCTTCAATTTTTGGCATAAAGCACTGCAACCCTAAAGGATCTATTTTGTGCCTTATTTACCGTCTGTTTTATTTCTAAAATGTTGGTTTAGTTAGTTGGTTTAGCTTCCGCCTATCTTAATAGGCTTATCAGGTTGAAAGACTCATAGCTGCCAGGTTAATCCACTCGATCTTCCCCAAACAGCTTTAGTCTAAGCCTTGCAAACCTATCACATCGACAAACGATATGAAAGGCTGTTTTATTCTCCTCCCAACAGAATCTGCAAAGCGGGTTCAAAATCACTCGGAGATTGAACATGTGATAATTAAACTTACAGTGACCAGTATAGAACGCTGTAAGTTTTTAGAGAGCTGCTCTGTCCAAATTCAGCAGCAGATTACTTCTTTTATTACATGGACCTTTAAGGAACAGCTTTGAATGTCGTTTCTTATCAGTCCAGTGTAGTTTGAATTTTTCACCATATAACTCCCTAATCCTTCTTTTGGCGGTATTAAGACTGATTCCACAAACAGGTTCAGGAATTATGGGAATAGTATCTGAGCCGAACCTGGCTAGATTATCTGTCTCTCCATTGCCAAGAATACCCGAATGACCAGTCACCCAATCAATTGCAACTCTATTAAGCTCAGACAGATTGTTAAGCGCTATACTGCACTCTTTAACCTTTGAGTATGCATAGTAATTATTTAGGATACCTATTGCTGCTTGACTGTCAGTGTAAATTATTATCTTTTTTCCAGTTACTTTGCCTAGCAATAGGTTTTGGCGAATTGCTAGTGTCTCAGATTGAAATACCAAAACATGCTTGCCAAGAGGAATTGAAACTTTTTCCTTGTTGTCTTTTCGATAGATGCCTGCTCCTGAGCCATAGGCTGTTAGAGAGCCATCTGTATAACAATTTATACCATTTTTTAGTTTGTGTTGTGTGCTGATATCAATCTCGACATCATATTTGCTGCCCAGATATTCACGGATAATGACCGTATATTCTTGATCCAATACCCGACAAATTTTACAAATTTTATCTAATACTAGCTTTTAAGATTGAACTAAATGAACAGAAGAATAGTTGGAGTGATCAGTCAAATAAGAAGGCAAAAATAAATGATATTATTTATTTTGACATTTGCCGACATTTCGACCTGAAGTTCAGGCCTTCATCAGGGCTAAGAAAAGAACCAGATAACAAGGTATGAGAAACATAAGTAGTGTAGGTAAAAAAATTTAAGTAAAATGAAGTTGTTAGAATAATGACAATAGTAAGAACTAAGAGATAAATAATAATAATTGTTACAAAGTGTGGAATGATGAAGTAAACATAAGCAAAAAAAGGTGACATAAGTATTAAAATGGGAATCTTAGAATAAAATGTAAAAAGGAATATGAAGTTATATTATATAAGAAATGAAAATAAATAGTAAAATTAAGATATTGCGAATAGAATAGTTAGATAGAAAATTGAGATATTGTAAAGTCTATAAAGATGTACAGACAACGCATAATATAATAAAGAGTTAAAACAGAGAAAAGAAATGAAAGGAAGGAGGAAAGAAACTGAGAAGGCTGAAATAAGAAAGAGAAAAAATAAAACAAACCTGTCTCCAAAAATGTTAACGGAGAAGTGAGAACGGTAGCAAGGGGGGGGGAGAGATGTTTTGAACTAAATCATTTGTAATAATATATTTTAAAATAGAATTATGGTAGTAGTAAGTTCAGTTGAACTTGACTTGACTGAGCCTCTTTGATGGTTCACTTTAAACTAAGCTTGAACTATGTTCAAATGATAACTTTTATTTGTACAACTGGATTTTCAGATTTGACAGTGGTTCAAGCTTGATCTTAACTTGAACTCCAATTGTACAACTAGCCCTAAGTCCACTAAGACCATAATAATAAGCTATAAATATGTATATATACATTCATTATTCAAAATGTTTCATGTTACAGTTAATACAAAATTAGAGTAAATAAATTGATTCCTTTGAAAATTTGTTTGTAGCAATTAACTTGAGGAAAAATAAATTATTTATTAAAAAATGCTGATTGGTTAAGCCTATGAAATACTTAAATACATAAATGGATGAAATATTTAAATGGCTCACCTGATGTCAAGAATTCTCGAAAATCTTGGTCTACATTTAAAACAGGATGTGCTGCAGTTCTTTGAAGATATCTTTCTAAAGAAGCTCTCCTCCTTTCCAAAAACTCAGTAGGAGGGGAAACATCATTTGATCCAGACATTTTGATTTTTGTCATACCTTGAAACATATCATTTTAACAAGAAAATAAAATGTTAATATTTAGGAAGTCGGTTAATATAAACACAAACTTGGGTTATGAATGTATATATTATTTAAAAACATATATACTATTAGAACCAATCACTATCATATCACGAGATAATCATTGTCAAACTGGTATCATAACATTAATGGAAATAAAATAACAGTTGTTGAAGTAATTAAGAACATTGCAGCTATTGTTGATATACCCACACATATTATTACAGTAAGGCTCGAAATCAGTTTAGTATCAAATATAAGCTCCTCACATGCTCAAATACCATGAATGGGGTAACGTTGGATTCAGAATTTCACGGGGCTTGATCGAATCATACTCTCTCCTTTTGTTTTCTTTCCAAAATAAATAGTCGATATAAACATTTTGCTAGGCTTTAATACTGGACCAGTGGTAAGTCTGTAAATTGATAAGGGACAAATTGGGCTTTCAAAATTTTGAGGCGTATACCGAGACCCAGATCCTTCAGAACTATTGGGTCCCGCGTTTTAAAGTCCAAAAACGTACCATTTTTGAGATAATGCAAGGCAAAGGATTCACATTCATGTCTCATTTTGTCGACTTGAGGTCACTATGATTGAGATAGGAGGAGTTTATATTATTCAATGAGAAGTTTTTTTTCATTAAGCCATATCTTCATCAAATCTCAAGATTGAGCCACCTGTTTTGAAGGTTTTCTTCTCCTTCAGGAGGGAAAAATTGTCCCATCACTCCGAAAATTTAGGTAACATAGTTATAAAAGAAAATAAACTTAATTTGTGAATAATTCAAAAATTACACTTTTCCCTTGCTTATGCCCATGATTATATAAAAGACTTCTAAACTGCCTACAAAAGGAAAAAAAAACAACATCGAAATCAGACATTTATTAGCAAAAATACAGCTAGTTGCAAATTGAAAACATGTTGGTTCCAAACATTAATGAAGTTTTAAATTAATTTTGGTTTCCTATGTAGATTATTTAAGCAAGAAAGTAACAATTGATTTTTCTATCTTATGATACGTTGCATTATTTTATTTTCTTATTCATTTTGTGTTAGATCACTAAACAATATACTGTGTGAATTTTTCGCAAAGGCCAACTAGTAAATTAATAATACCATAATAATTTCCCTCACCAATTACACTTTTCTCAGGCGCTGGTGGTATTATTCTCCCCAATCTTAAGTATTTTTCAACTAATTTTTCATGAAGTCCTAAAAAATCACTAAACCTTCTTTGGACTGAAAAAAAAGTTTTTCTAAATACAGGTATATTAGTCTTTGTTTCAACTCTGAATACAATGTAAGCTGCCATCCCATCACCAAGTTTGGTAGCATCAGTAACACGAATATCAATATAGTGATCCGTTCCAGTAGAGTTAGAATCCTAAAACAAATAAATAACAACGTAAGTACCATGTAGTAATTTTGACGTGAAATATACTCTTTTTTCAAATCTGCAGACTACTAGAGTAAAAAGCAAAAACATTTCATCCACCACAAAGAAATCCATTTCTTTCATAAATTAAATGAGTAAGTATATCATAATGTTGATATATTTAGTAATAAGAGGCAATATGATAATATAATAATCAGACTTTTAATAGTTATATTTAATTAATCAATTACTAAAAGTATATTTATTTGAAAGTGAAAAATAATTTTTAATCTTGGACATACTGTCTCCTTAAGAATAATATAATTGTACAAACGAGAACAACAATACATTTTGCTGGCTAAAATTATAAAGCTTTTTTGGAATTATAGAACAAGCATGAATAATTGATGGACATAATTAAATATAAAGGAGAAGGAATAAATAATAGAAATAACTAAAGACTTTTAGAAGGAAATAAAATGAATAATGGAAGCTTTGCTGAAGGGAGAGTAATGCTCAGAGAAGTGGGACACCAAAAATCATCAAAAGTGTAGTAAGTCTGGCTAGGAGACTAGTGCATTGAGAATATCCACATGACAGAAATAAAAAATTTACAGTAAAAAAGCAATCACAAATCACTCCCTCTTCATCAGGATGGTTGGTAACCTTTTGCAGACACTTCCATTCTGTTTTTTTTTTTTCAGGAATTGAATTTAGAGAAAGTTAGTATTAATAATGGGCATAGGGAATATCTCTTTTGAACTATCAAATACTTCTTTGAACATTGCTTTAAATGGGCTTGTACTAAATTCCATATGAAGAATTTCAGGCGTACTCCTCCATACATGTAAAAGCCTACGTTTGTCTTGTAATAAAATATGGTATCAAACTGACCATTACTGTTTGGGAGACTTCTTTACAATAGCTAATAACTCAGAATCATGCATTATTCTTTTAACAGTAAGAGCACAATTCAACGCAATAACTGCTAGCATATGTAGAACCCTTGGGAATGAGATGCGAGAAACTAGCTGTTAATATGTATGAAATGATTAACGCCTTATTGTTGATGAATGGAAGATCATACAATCTGCTAATGGTTTGAGAGCCAACAACCTTTTTATTTAACCTAGGAAGATTTAAATCTGCAAACCCTTAAGATTTTTAACATTTACCATCCAAAACATAAAATGAACGTCGGTTACTCCATTTCTGGGAGTTAGAGTCGGAAATTTGAATTTAAGAATCTAAAAGTGCATTTTTTTCTGTCCTTCAATTATATCAGCGAAACTATGATATTGAGGAAGCTGGGGAAAAATTTATTCCTGCCTCAATAAATCCAAAAATCACAATCATTACTGTATAATTGCAATAGTAGATTAAAATGTTATTAAATTAAATCTAAATTATATAAACAAAAGCATTTCCGAAGTTATAATTTAATTTAAAATGTTATGGACAAATGGTTGTTTACTTAAGAAATAATCATATGCCTACAGATTTCTGAATGAATTCAGTGTTAACATTCATATTAAATGTATATTATATAGAGAATTATTATAGCTTTGAAATATTAATAAAGATTCAGCCATTCTAAATTAACTGTCAGTTTTTAGTATTATAAGAAAGTTACGATCATCAATAGTCATTGCATATCAATAAAAGGATGGTATATAGAGCTCTTTAAGTACTTCCATTAATAAATAAGGAAGAAAATAGTATCCAACAACAACAAACAATATGATTTGTGAAGAACTACAAATTTTATCTGAAAATATACAATGTAATATACACACACAAACACACACATGCAGGCATGCTTGAGTGTGTGTGTGTATGTATATATATATATATGCTTTATTGTCTCAACCCAATCTGAGTAATAATTTGTAATCATTTAAATTAATTGTGTAAATTAAATATAAACAACTTAACCTAACAACATGGCGCCCAACTAGCATGGCTTCGAAAATAGATGTATATAGCCATGACAAATAAACACACAATCCTCTTTATATTTTATTTTCTTCACTATTGTTATAATAAACAAAATGGCATTTAATAGTGAGGCAAAAGAAATTTTGGAAATTCCAGAGGGGTCAAAGTTAGTTTGGATAGGGAAAATCCAGTAGTTCTAGATTATGAAAGCATTGCGCAGGTCCAAGTAGCCGACAAACCAATTGAAATAAATGCCAGTGCTAAAGCGGAAGTATCGGGAATTCAATCGATCTTAAATCAATTGCTAGCCGGCTTTAATGAATTAAAAAGTGTAATAGATGAATGAAATTAAAAATTAAAAAATAGCTTCAAAAATTTCAAATCGGAAAGTATAAAACAATTTGAAAAATCAAAACAAAATTTCAAGATATTTAAAACTGAAATAAGAAATGAAAACAGTAGTATGAGCAAACAAAGGGAAGAAAGATTTGAAAATTTTACCATTAATAATAACATGAAGTATGATACTGACATTAAACGATTTAAAACAAAATCTCAATTAAGTGGAAAATAATTTATCTGCAAAATTAAATAAAAAAGGAAATGCATTAATAAATCAAATAAATGTATATCAAGCAAAAAATAGTAAAATAAATGACAAACTTGAAAATCTTGAACAAAAGCAGTCAGAGGAAATAGGTCAATTACGGAGAAAATTAATTAATGAAAACATAAGAACCCATTGCACCAGTCCTGTTTTAAAAAGCAGAAATATAACTACAATAGAAAAACTTTAATTTCACGATTTCAAGAAAAATGACCCGTTTTTATTTATTTAAAAAATAATATAGTTAATATTGTTAAAATCTTTACATTCATAAGAAACTCTGTAGAACGAAAAAAAAAAGGTTAGTAAATAGCCACAAATTGAAGCTACTCTTAATTCAACAATAAGTATAACATTGAAGCAAGCAATGTTTGGGGTCAGTCCATTAAAATTCTGGGATTGTAAATAGTGTAATGAAAGTCATAGAAAATAGTGTGAATGTCAAATGATAAGTTTATTATTTTAAATGAAAAAAAAATTAAATTTTCACTTTTCAAAGGAAAAGTAACGTTATGTATCATACGTCTACAGATTTCTGAATGAATTCAGTGTTAACATATATATATATATGTATATGTATATATGTATATGTATATATGTATATATATATGTTAACACTGAATTCATTCAGAAATCTGTAGACGTATGATTATTTCTTAAGTAAACAACCATTTGTCCATAACATTTTAATCTACTATTGCAATTATACAGTAATGATTGTGATTTTTGGATTTATGAAGAGGCAGGAATAAACTTTTCCCCAGCTTCCTCAATATCATAGTTTCGCTGATATAATTGAAGGACAGAAAAAAATGCACTTTTAGATTCTTAAATTCAAATTTCCGACTCTAACTCCCAGAAATGGAGTAACCGACGTCCATTTTATGTTTTGGATGGTAAATATTAAAAATCTTAAGGGTTTGCAGATTTAAATCTTCCTAGGTTGAATAAAAAGGTTGTTGGCTCTCAATCCATTAGCAGATTGTATGATCTTCCAGTCATCAACAATAAGGCGTTAATCATTTCATACATATTAACAGCTAGTTTCTCGCATCTCATTCCCAAGGGTTCTACATATAATAGCAGTTATTGCGTTGAATTGTGTTCTTACTGTTAAAAGAATAATGCATGATTCTGGGTTATTAGCTATTGTAAAGAAGTCTCCCAAACAGTAATGGTCAGTTTGATACCATATTTTATTACAAGACAAACGTAGGCTTTTACATGTATGGAGGAGTACGCCTGAAATTCTTCATATGGAATTTAGTACAAGCCCATTTAAAGCAATGTTTAAAGAAGTATTTGATAGTTCAAAAGAGATATTCCCTATGCCCATTATTAATACTAACTTTCTCTAAATTCAGTCGAAAGTAATTTTAAAATAAATAAAAATGGCAATAATGCTAAGACACCATTTGAAACAGCCTTTCATTTCCTGGGTGTTTTCACGGTACTTATTTAATAGCAGGTAGCGTCAAAACCTCCCTTCTTATCTAATCTCATTTCACATAACCTTCCTTATCTCATCTAACCTAAGTTATTCCCTTGTTTTTTTGTTTCTTGTATTAGCTGTGAGTTAGTGTTATTTAATTATGGATGTTGTCACATTGTGGGAATTCCCGTCTTCAGAAGAAGAGCTATAAAATATTTTCAAGACGCCGGGATATTTGCAAAGGTCAAATATTGTGATGAAGGTCATCAAATGAAGTTCGACGGGAAGATTAAATGGAGATGCTTTCGTAGTTGTAACAAAACCGTTTCTATAAGGAAAGGAACGTGGTTAGAGGGGTCGAGGATTTCTTTTTTAACGGCTTTAAAATTCATTTATGGTGGTCCCATAATCTAACAACAATACAGTGGAGGAAAGAGCAGCTCAAACTATCCAACGCAACTATCGTAACCTGGAACAAATTTTTAAAAGAGGTTTGTGCTCATGACGGATCCCTTCCTTACTATTTTAAATAACAAAAAACTATTTTGCCTACCAAAATAAATCAAGTTAAAATAAAATTTTTCATATTTTGTTTATATCGTTTCTTCATAGTGTTTCTTTTATATGTACATATGCTGTTTAAGTGTTTTTTTATTATTTCATCTTTTTTTTGCCTATTTTTATTATTTCATTTATTTTTATATATATGTTGCAATGTTTTCGTAATGTTTTTTAATTATATATTTATAATGTTTTGGTATATTTTAATATATATGTTGTAAAATAAAAGTAATTTTTTTATTATTACATTTGTTTTTGTTTTTGTTCACAATTTCAATAATATCAATACAATACAATAAATTTGAATACAAAGAAATAATAATATGAATATAATACAATAAATATGAATACGAAGAGCTTATCAGTGTTAAGGTTATAAACATTGGCAGATAGCAGTCGGACGCTACCCACTATTAAATAAGTACCTCAGGTCATTATCACTTCATTAAGTTTTGAAACTGTACTTTTAAATTAAATAGATTTGAAGTTTCTAAATATAACTTGCAATTGTTCCAATTTTAAAGAAAGGTAAAAAAAGGTGACAATCTATGAAAAAAACTTAAGGAACTGGTATATACCAGTCCAGAAGTAAAGAGAAAAGTTTTAGAGACCAACAAAAGGTTTTATGGAATGGTGAAAATAAGTTTTCTGCTATTGAGAAAAATGAAGGTTACACTTTACAAAACATTACTTATCAAGCTTGTCTTATAAAAATCCTCAGAAGTTTCTTGAACACAGTTAAGTTTCTTGAACCAAATCAATATCATAGTTAACATATTTTTCTGCTAGGTGTACCAGGAAAGTAACCTTACCTTGCGACATGTTTGTAAATTGAAGAATAAATTAAAATTTTCAATTATTTAACTCCATACACAGGGTATTCCATAAGTAATGGGAAATATTCAAAGGGGTGATAGTAAACCTCAAATAGAAAAATGGTGTGATACACAGAATATATTAAAGAATAGTATATTTCCTGAACACAAGGAATGTTGTTAGAACAAAAATTTCTAACATGTTCCATTAACTTAGTTCCACAATCTAACCAAACCTTTTTATAAGGTCAAGTTTTTCAACCAAAGTGAGTTAATTCAAATAACTGATGGAGAAACTTAACTGAGTAAAAGAGCCTTAAGTAAGAAATAAACATTTAATGTTCTTCAAAATTAAAATATTAAGAAGAATACTTAAAGCTGTAAGAGTCAGTGATCAATTTGGATTGATGAATAATGCAGAAATGTACCAAATTCACCAAAAGCCACACCAGATATGGCGCAGCATATAAAAATTGTATGGATAAGATGGACTGGATATGGATGACCACGACACGACTAAGAGGGGCAGACCTGGTATAGGACAGAGAACAGTAAAAGTTGGGGATTTGATGGAGCCAAGATTTTACTGGGCTATAAAGCCTGTGGTCATGATGATTAAACTTTGAAACAGTAAAAGATTGCACTCAATCCAATGACATGATTACAAAAAATGAAATGACTATGTTTCAGTTGTTCACTTACAATAAAATCACCATAAATTTTCTCAACATTCATGGCAAAACTTTGACATCAACTTAAACTTTAACCATCATCCAAATTTTAACATAAGCAGTGAGTACAGCCACGTGAGGCTACACAACTAGAGGTTCGCCAAGATTGGTTTGGGAAAAACTGATGCTTTGTGTTTGGTGGAACTTCGTAGGGGTTTTATATTCAGAGCTTGTTCTAGATGGTCGGACAGTGGACTCAAACCTTTACTGTGAACAACTAGACCGAGTTTATGCAGTTTTGAGTGCAAAGTACTCCAATTTGAACAACAGGACTCAAAACATTTTGCAACACGACAATTTGTTCTGATTTGAATAAGGAAAATTAATCGGAACTTTTTTTTTTTTTTTAGGGTCCTCCCCTTCCTTGCCTTTAAGGTTACACGGGGTTTTACCTGGCCAGGGAATGTAGGCAGAGATTCAAAAGACTCCTCCAGCACTGGGACTCGAATTCGTGACTATTTTAAAACCATTGTCTCATATATCAGGTTGCTGGGCAATGACGGTGCTGTGCACACACGTTAGCCCATTCGCCCACAAACTTATCACCCAGCATGTTGTTCCATTCTTCCACTAAAATTCTTTTTAAATTGGCTAAATTTTGAGGGTTTCGATTGCGAAGGAGTTTCCCAAGCATGTCCCATACTAGTTCTACTAAGTTCATGTCTGAACCTCTGGGGGTGGCTAAGCCGTAAAATTTATCTCTTCTTATTGAAGGTAATTTAACGAGGGCAGCCATTGTCATGAATTAAAATCAAAAACCTTCTTCCATTAAAGTAAGAACACGGATCAATTCCTCTTTAGTCAATTCTCTTCTGTCTCCCATAAAATTTTTCTGAATTATTTCACAAGCAAATAGTTTAAAAATGTTAAAATCCGTGTAAATACTCAAAACTAATGTAGAACTGAAAGAAAGAGTGCAAAATGTGCTTAAGATACCTTTTTAATCCCAAGGAGTGAATAATATTTACAGTTTGAGGATACCGTTGACGAAGGATTACACTAATTCCATTCTGATACCAGAGAAATATTTATTGTTTTCATTATCAAAAAATTATAACGAAATATGTAGGTGACCCTTTAATTTTGTCCAGCAGTATAGTTGAAAACATTGGATTTTACTTTGAAGAGTTGTATTTAATAATGTTTTTTTTTTTTTTTTTTCTTATGCCAGTCGTTGGTCATTTGGCCATCCGACATCTTGCTGCCCAGTATAATTTAGATTTTCTGATATGTATATTTGAAAATATTTTGTCTCTTATGTCCCTCAAGGCAGGACATACGTCTAGATGGTCTGCATCCATTGTTCCTAGATGACACAATTTACAGGTAGGATCCTCAGCGACACCTATCTTGTAGAGATGACTCTGCAGATAGTCGTGACCAGTAGCCAGGCGGAAGCAGGCAACTGCATCTCTTCTCGGCAGCTCAGCTGGAATCGGATTATCCTTCAACCACTCGTAACGCTTCCCTTCCACTTTGCCGAAATGTACTTTTCTTATTTCTTCCTTCATTACCATCTTCACCATTCGCCGTATTGAGTCGTAAGGTTTTGGATGTATCGGCTGAGGCAAATCTGTTCCTCGTTTGGCAAGAATATCAGCCTCAACGTTACCCGGAATCCCACAATTGCTGGGGATCCCCTGTAGGACCACATTGGTGCCTCGGTGTGTCAGGTTAGAGATCAGGCTGATGCATCCCTGAAAAGATTAGACGACCAGCAGAACAAAGCTCTGCGTTTGATTTTGGGTGCACCGCGCTCAACCCCTGTTCTGGCTATGGAACTGCAGACCACAGTAGAACCTCTATCGAAACGGCGTGAGCGAGCTGCAATGTGCCTTCACAAGCGAATGAAAAGAATAGACCAAGAGTTTTGGAAAAAATACAAAATCCCCTCTTAGCAGCTCAAGACACAAAAATCCTTCATGCTGAAGGCGATGGCACTACTTGAAGAAAGAGGGCTTGACTGCGAAGAAAGGGAACCATTTATACATCCACAGTTACCAATTCACAATCACGCATGCAATGCAGAACTGCAACTCCTTCATAAGATGGATAAGAAAAAACCACCTCAATACGAGCTAAAAGCATTAGCATTAGAAACCATAGCTCAAAAGTACCCTCCTCAAGATTGGTTCCATATCTATACCGACGGGTCAGCTGAATCAGCCGTTAAAAATGCTGGAGCAGGGGTTTACTCAAGGGAATTCCAAATCAGCGCTGCGGTGGGAAAAGATGGAACAAATTTCGACGGTGAGATAGCGGCGATCCTCATAGCCTTAAGAACATTGTCTAGGAGGCGGGATCAGAGCGCTGTTCTCTTCATCGACTCCCAAGCAGCCATCCTTGCTGTCACAAGCACGAATGAATGTTTATCGAGTGCTATATTGGAATGTAAATCCCTCCTCTCTATTTAATAATGTTTAAAATATGCAATACAAAATAAACCTATATTTATGCAAAAAGGACTTTTGTAGCAACCTAGGATAATACCAAAGCTAGAATTTATTAAAACCTCACATGTATATGTATATTTTATTTTTGAAGCCTGTGTTATTTCAGGAAGCTTATCCTAACCAGCTCGGGTTTTTTCAGTCATCTATTACAATCCCTTATTTTTCCTTCAGATAATTATACAATTCCTTCGTAGTTTATAGTTAACCATTTTTTATTCTAGGTTATAATGTGCAGTGATTAATTATTTCAAATAAACAAAATCAGATGTACTTTACAGAAAGATTTTTTAAAATTTTTCATTTAAACCCTGTCAGGCAGTATCAATCAGGACAAAACCTACCTTTAATTAAGAGCCACTTAATAATACATTGACCAAATGAGGTTAATCAAAATTATTAGAGCTGTTTTTGAGAAAATTGTAAAATGTGTATTATCAATGATACAAAGAGGCACTCCCAGTTAGCCGATTCGACATAAAAGATTCTGTAACATCCCAGTGACAAACATATCTTAAATATACCATTTCAGCTTCATATGACATTTTGTTTTTGAACTAGGCTATTCACATGCACACAGACCATGATACGAGACCTGGTTATTTGGAATAAGGGGACTTCAAAACGTGTATTTCCATTGAAAACATGGATTCGAACATTTTTACAATCGCAATACTTTCCCTTTCTATATATTTCATATATAATTAAGTGAAAGTAAAAATAAAACATTATTGTTTAATTTCCCACAATACAGGATTTGGACAATGGTTAATAGGAACTTATTTGTCACAAGTGAGGTGTAGATTCTGCCACTGAAATTTCTTAATCCTCACATGGTACACCATTTATATTCAATTATTTTGGTATTGATATTATTATTAAATTTAGTTATTCAATATATTGTCAGAGTTTTATAATTATGATGGCATATTAAATGCTACTATATATAAGTTTTAAAAAAATATATAAGATTTTACTTAATTATACCTTGATAAGGAGGGGAGGCTGATATTTTTGGGTTGGTGTTGGACTGTGAACACTGACATCTTCATGAGTGCTTTCATCAACTGGTGAAGAAGCAAGACTTTTTTCCTGAAATCCATTAAAGTATTTAAGTATATTTAATTTCAAACAAATATGAGTATTATTTCAATAAAACATAATGTATTATGAACAATAAAAAAAGAGAAGAAAATACTGGTATTGGTAGGTGGTTGTTATTAATAGTACTGTAGAAGAATAAGAGAAGTATCCTGAGACAATCCAATATGATCAAAAAAGGAAAATAAATAATAAACATAACATGAGATTGAGACACGGAATCAGTAACAAAGCCAGGATTTAGTTTTTTTTTTTAAATAACAGTACTTACTCTTGAAGAAAAAGGGAAAAACTACCTATATAAAATGAAGTCTAAGTGTACATGAAGGTAACAAATATAACATAAAAATAAATGCTTTTACTGGAGAATTATATTTATATTATTTTCTTGATATGTCCTTACACTTATTAGCTCTATATGCATACAACTAAAAAGAGAATGTATTGTGGTTGTTTAAGTATTTAGTTTAGATAACTCTCATAAACAAATAAAGACCAATGAGAAAACGAAGGCCATTTTCCCATTTTTAGAGTGGGGCCAGTGTAAGCCACCCTCCTCCCATAGATCTGGTAAACAAGTGCCAACATGAAAGAATTATCTAACAGGAATGGAGGGAGTATGCTCATATTGGGCAGACCAACCCATGCTCACTTTGATTTAATGACAACTCGGATTGGACAGTTATATGGATCCATTCGGTGTGCTCCCTACGCACCTGAGCATAACAGGATAAATGCATGATCATTTAGGGTAAATGATGAAGTGTATACATAGCCTAAGAGGTTTGCCCACATAAAAGTGAGAAAAAAATCATTTTGGAAAATTTTATATTGTCTCTATCAAAACATTCCCCCTGAAACACAATATATGCACCATATCAGTTCCCGATCATGCAAGTCCTTTGTTTTGAGGTTCTTCGATTGTCTAATCATTTATGTTTTGATGGCCTCCATTTCATCCTAATGCTACGCTCGAAGCACCACCTTACATATGAGAAATATAAAAAAAGTAACATGGTTCCAAATCAGGTCAATAAGGGGAGGTGTTCCACAATCATACTCCAATTTCAGCCCAAAATCTCATGAACAACTAGTGAAGTGTGTGAAGAAGCATTGTCATGATAGAGAATTAGAGCTGGGGGCGGGGTGGCCGAATAGGCTAAAGCGTGTGTAACAGCACCGCTAGTTGTCTGGCAACCGGATAACAGAGATTTGAGATGATATAAAAAGTACGAGTTCGCGTCCCGGTGCCGGAGGGGATTTTAAATTCCCCGCCCTCACCCCCCGGCCCGGGAAAATCCCGTATAGCCTAAAAGGCGAGGTAGGGAAGAACAAAAGAAAAAAAAAAAAAAAAAAAAAAAAAGAGAATTAGAGCTACACAAGCTTTGAGATGTCTGGAAATGTCAACATACAAAGTTGCATTAAAAATCTGGAAAGAAAGGACAATTCTTATTTATTCCCATCAATAGCTATGTAGCCAAAGCCGTCACTGTTTTTGCAGCTAACCATACATTTTATCTTTTCCGTACTTATTTCAAGCCCCAGTTCTTTACCAACTGTCATCAACGTTTTATTAAGTTTTATGGTTCCCATGTCTTTATGAACCAAATCATCAGCCTACCCGAATACACATAATGTTTCACAGATTCAAATCTTTATCAATACACCACCTTGTACTACTCATATGGATGTTCTAATGTTTAGTTAAATAGAAATCACCTTGTTTTAAACCCAGGATAAACTTAAAACTTCTCGGATAAATAATTACTGATTATAATTTTATTGAATGATTCAGTCATGCTACTAGATTTGCTAACTTTGTAACTTGAATATTGCACAACTTTTCATGGTCAATGGAATCCCATGGTCAGATGCCCTTTTATGCGAAAAATTTTAATAATAAGAAAATGTATATCACTAACAGTAAAAAAAAACTGTCCATTTAACTAAGATTGAGTAACCAGAAACGCCAAAGAATGTAAAATAGAATTATACAGAATTAAATAACAAACCAGCATAATAAAAAAATTATGTTCAAAGCTAGTTAAATATTCATGCCTATAATTAAAGAATAAACAGAAACAGAAATGATTACCTGCCACAAATTTTATTTTAACTGATAATATTAGATATGATACAGAGATTATATGTAACTAAAATGAAATTTCAACAAATAAATCATCCATTCAAAACTGTAAACAAAACAAAAAATAAAGTACAAAGCTTGAAGCTTTATTCATATAGCATTTCATTACGAGACTTATTACAGCTAAAGACAACCATCAGAAAAATTGGCACATAATATATGAACAATGATCACATTACTTACTTATACATTATAAGTGAAGTGTGCGGCTCAATAAGCCGATGTTAATCATACCATTCCATTTGTAATGATTTGTTAATAAAGTTAATTATTAAATTAATGTTAACAGGCTACTTAGGGATATATTATATCCATAAATATGACAAGCATTTTTTCATGAGAGTAAAGAAAACTAAAATGAGGAAATAGTTAACGTTAGCATCACATTATAAGCCATATAATATTAAAACATGAAAACGAACAGAAGTTATGATAAGGAACATTTGATATCACATTGAACTAACACTTTCAACAAACTAAAACAAAAAATTAAGAATGGATAAAGTCAAAATTTTGTTAAAAAACTTAAATGAAGCTCAAAATGAAACATTAATGAGACTTCTTAACATGTATTTTGTAAAATTTAATGTACAACTAGAATTTAAAGTCAAGTTGAAAAACCACGAACAGAGATTATTATATAACATCTATTAACACTAAATTTAAATGCAACAAAATGAGCTCAAAAAGTAATAATTGCATTCATACAACAAAATATACATTACCACAGACAACTGGAGAGTAGGTAGATCTGGTAATGGATTAATAACACCTGACTTTACTATGTTCATGTCCTACACAACAGAGATCAATGTATGACTACATGCAGCTTGAGTTAAAATGTTATGACAACAACAAATTTAAATTATGATAAATTATTAATTTGCTTACATCCATAGCAGATGAAAACAGATCTTCATTTTCATTATCCTTATCAAACAAATCATCATCATTATCTACTAACGGAGGAGGTACGTGAGACATATTTGAGTTTTGTAGAGTATCTAAATTTCAAATATATTCTTATAACTTTCAGCATATAACACCAACACTTGATAAGTCAAGAGCGAGGAGTTGGAAGTATGAGAAGAAGATAACAGCACCACTGTGTTTGACTACAGCTTCTGGCGACTTATCAGCAGATGACGTCACATGGACGCTTCAGTATTTTATCAAGAAAAAAAGTATAAACCATATACTACTTAATTGTACAGGAAACTGTTTTATTTATTTTTTATACCGTACCCTTTACTGCCGACAAATTTTTCTAATGGATAATATTTATATTGAATCTAACTTGTCAGGTCGTCCAAAAATAATTCCAGTCCGAGGAACTAGAATATTTTTCGGCTAACGAAATGAAAAAAAACTAGTAAAATAATTTATTAACCTGTTAAAGGGTTAATTAAAATTAATTCCCTATTACTGAGTGCTAAAAGCTTCTTTACATCCAAATTAAAATAAATATTTTTCGAACTATAGTTTTATTTAAAAAAGTAATTTCCAAAGTTTATCGTCGACATGTTGTATCTATACGAGTTACATGTAGTAATTGACAATAATTGTTAACACAAATTTATTTATTTTTGGCGCTACGGTTCTGTAAGGATCTGGGCCGCTCTTATAATATTTCTTCACTCTCTTCTATCCCAGACAAGCATACCTCATCTTAGGATTTCCATCCTATTCAGGATGTCCATCCATTTATTTTGTCCTCATCCAGCTTTCTCAGGTGTGGTCTTCTATTTGGTTTATATCTGATTTGGTTACTCACAATTAAGACCAAATCCGGCTAGACTAAAAATATACTCTCCATGATATTTGATGGGTCACCGATCAGTTTACCCCTTTTATTTTTGTGTATTGTCGTTTTTGGTTGGAAACCATGCTTTGTGAAACCTTGGAAACCATTGGACACCATTCTTTGTAAAACCTTGGAAACCATTTCTGCTTTGTAAAACCTTGGAAACCATTGGACACCATTCTTTGTAAAACCTTGGAAACCATTTCTGCTTTGTAAAACCTACTTGTCAGCTTTATCATAATCACTTTACAAATAAAATTTGCTATCATCAGAAAATATGACATTTCTCAAAAGCTAAAGGGTTCGTTTAAATAGTTCCCCACAAAAGCAAGGCTCTCTTACAGGTTTGTTTTGCTAATGAACGGTTTATTTTAAGGTACCCTACCTCGAAGGCCTTCAGAATTAAAGCATTATCTGATTGTCCACACACGGATCCGGGACAGGTTATCAGTTGTTTCGACCATATTGGACAGGTCATGAGAAATTATTGCTGGAATCTTTAGGGCTTCATTTTTCTCCGGATTCTGGAGTTCAGTTTTTAAGACCGTCTCTTAGCACTGGGATTTGATGTGGAGGGATCTTTTGGGGATCCTCAGTTCTTCCATGGATAAGTACATCTTAATTCTTGTTAATTGTGTCATTGACAGATTTGGAGTCAATAAATATCAGCTAGATAAAAATAGACAGTTTATCTTCTACTGTTTATATCTTATCTAATCCAGATTAAAAACTATCTGCGGAAGAAAGTTTAGAGGAAGAAACATTAGAGGGGACCACGATATACCAACCTTACACTGTCATTTGGCCATCATGGAACGTATGAAATCTGCAATGTGTACTGGTTGGTGAAATATTGGTCGAACTCCAGGACCTGATACCATAGACGTGACAGTCTTGAGGATCGTTGTTCTCTGTATGGAAAAAAAAAAAACTGTTTGCAATTTACGACTGTCATAGATGGCGAAACTTTTTGAGAAAATGGAACATCAAGGAGATCCTTCTAGATTCTTAGATAGTCTCATACTAAACTATCTACGGCTAATTATGGTAAAAAAGAAATCCTCACGGCTATTTAGCTCCACTAAAGGTAAGTGAATCGCTTTTACTCTTTTGCGAGGACTCAAAGATTTTGAAGAGAGAAATATAGAAAAGCGGTATGACATGATATTTCATTTAGAGATATCGTCCGTTTCTGACTGTGTTTGGAGGCCGCGTGAACTCCACAGACAGTTACATAAACATGGTGTTCCTAGCAACCAATATGTTCTCCTGAGAAGATACCTCTAGGATTGGCATGTGTGGATTAGAGGTATTATCGACGATATTGAGAGAAAGAATCCAGATAGGATCCCCAGAGGGCTCTGTTCGAGGTCTTGCCATGTGGATGTCAGTTTTGAGAAGTTCCTAGCAGTACAACAACCGCGGTTCTTGACAGAGTCGGATTTAGACATTTCAGATAGTGAGTGGCCACCAACAGCAAAGTCGGTATCAAACACGAGACGCGATTCTGTTAATCAATGGTTCACGAACGATGCCCGCTACTAAAACCCATTATCATATAGAGCAAATCTTATCACATTAAAGATTTGAAGACAACTGTGGCGGTTACCTATCTTGGCGTAAGACTTAGAAATAATTATACATGATGACTCACACTAGTTGACAAGCTAGCTGACCGTCCACCTGAATTAATTAAGACATGCTAGTAGCGCCTTCTGGGACTTATATACCCAGTTACATGGCCACCTATAAAGTGATGGTACTGGGCGTCTTGAGTTATGTCTTCTGCCTAGGTTCCTTCTAAACCTTATGAATCGGTAGGAGAACATATGGACATCTGCATTAACGTTGACAGGACAAGTCTGTTGTGGGTAACCTGAGTACAAAGGATAGTGTTTCATAAGTGAAAGGATTAGTAGGGGTATACTAGGGGTAGGGGGTGAGAAGGATCGGCAGGGATTCCAGAGAAACTTTGGGTGAGGTAGAAGGTGATATAGTGGAAAAACACTATTCAGGAATGAATGAGGCGAAATTGGAGTACTACCCTTTATAGCCTTGTTGAAGGCGGTTCTCTTCCTCACTTCTCATTATTGAAGATAACAACCCGAACTATGATTCTTTGTATATTGATGAAAGAAAAATGTGGTGATGAACCATAACTACGATGGATTCCTGCGAAGAAGGCGAGAACTTATCGTTAGAAACGTTCTGGTGAAATAACAGCACAGTGGTTACTTTCTTGAATCTGACTGAGCCAATTTGATTTTTTTTTAACACTATGTATGCCTAAAAATTACCCCAAACTACTAAAAGACTAAAATGTATTGGTAGTTCCAATGAAAAAAAAAAATTAAATAAACGCTGTGGGATTATTGGAAGAATTATATTCTAGTTTAAGAGTACACTCCATAATCATCCTCTTCCCAAAACCAGGTAAACCTGTCAATAATACCTCATCCTATAGACCAATAAGCTTGCTCCCAATCCTCTCCAAAATCTTTGAAAAAATCCTTCTCAAACGTATTCTACCCATAGTCGAAACCCACAATATCCCATCCCATCAGTTTGGATTCCGCTCAAGACATTCCACTGTTCAACAAGGCCTTCGCGTTGTTGATCATATATCCTCTGCGCTTGAAAACAAGCAATATTGCACCGGTGCCTTTCTGGACGTAGCGCAAGCTTTCGACCGGGTGTGGCATGATGGCTTGCTTTTCAAGCTCAAAACTCACTTACCCCAATCCTTGTACCTAGTCCTCAAATCCTACCTCTCAAATCGTTCCTTTCAAGTCCGCTGCGGCACTGAATTCTCCAACTATTATCCAATTGAAGTTGGTGTTCCACAAGGCAGTGTCTTGGGCCCAGTTCTCTTCATCCTCTTCACCGCTGACATTCCAACCAACCCCGATACCCTTCTAGCAACCTTCGCTGACGATACCGCCATCCTATCATCCCACTCAGATCCTGAAACGGCATCCTTAAACCTACAAAGACACATCTCCCTAATTGAGCAATGGTGCAACAATTGGCGCATTAAGATTAATGAATCCAAATGCAAGCATGTCATCTTTACCCTCCGACGCAGATCCTGTCCACATATCCTTTTCAACTCTGAACCTCTCCCCGTCTCAGACACAGTTCGGTATCTTGGATTCCTTTTAGACAAAAGACTAACTTGGAACCCACATACCAGACTTAAAAGACAAGAACTTAACCGACGATTTGGCCAGCTATACAGACTACTTAACAGAAAATCCAATCTCTCAATAGAAAACAAACTATTAATATACAAGACCATACTCAAACCCATCTGGACCTACGCACTTGAACTATGGGGGACAACTAAATTTTCGAACATCAAACGCATCCAATCCTTTCAGTCTAAAGTCCTCCGTATAATAGTCAATGCTCCTTATTATGTTACAAACAAAACCCTACATCATGACCTTTACATCCCTTATGTCCTTGATGTTATTCCATCTCGATTCCCAAATTTTCATCTGAACCTAATCCACCATCCTAACTCCTTAGCACAATCCTTATCCAACTCCAGTCACCCCTGCAACCTTCCTCGAAGGTTGAAACGGCAGTGGCCTCGAGACCTTTTGTAAAGACTGTCACTGGAGTTCTGGCAATGGCCAGCCTCTCCACTCACGTCATGAGCATCTGTTGCTTTAGTGCCCTCTCTCAGTTTCCACTGGACTCCTGCCGGTGACGCGGCTGAGAGAGAAGCGCTGGGATCTCTTAGAGTCTCGCTTTGTCCTTCACACGTGGGGGAAAGTTCTGGACTCGGAGCTCCCTTGGCTGATTGTAAATAATGTAAATTAAGTATGAATGCTTTTCTTTTTTATATATTTATTTGTTTTACTTATGACTTATTTAATTTGCTACCAATTTCTGTATTTTTTATTCTTTTTTTTTAATTTGACTTCAAGTTACATTTTTTTATTGTTATAGTTTTTACCTTTATTATATAGATATATATATTTATTTTTTATTTATTTATTTTTATTTTTTTTTGTTGCATTGTACTTAGTATGAATGGGCCTCACTCAGCTTTAGTACTCAGTGCCCTTAAATGTGGCAAAATGTATTATTTCTCAATAAAAAGATTAAAAAAAAAAAAAAGTTTAAGAGTACTGAACAATGTTGTTTTTTCAGTTCCTTATAGATACTAAAG